TCTCCATAAGTACAGACACCACCACATTCAAATGAAACTGGAACAGTTAGGCTTTGTACCTACTTCGAACAAAAAACTGTAAAAGTATATTAAAACAAGCGATCTTGGAGTTGGTAGAACTCGGCCGTAATTGACAAGTGCAGTGGCAGTTACTAGGTGGATAGGAGAAGTGGAATCTATGACAGTTTAGTAATTGTGGTCAGTGAAAGGGCATATCCCGTAAGAGGAAACGTATTTATAAATGTAATGCATGGATACGTATAATTGATGATGTGGGTGTACAGGAAATTGAAGCTGAAACATGAAGTTGTCACTATTACCAGAATGTATTTTTACATTATTTGGTTACTGTACATGCGACAGAATTGAGAAAGACAAAGTAACATTGAGATGACCGCGAACTTCAGCATTTCTGAAAAACATTGGCCCATACAGTGCAATTTTCCAAGACAATGTGTACTGAGAATGCCTCGCTTCCAACTGATATAATGGTCAACTGGAACCCATGTATTATACATAGCCCATACATAACATATGGGAAAGTGAAAAAATCACACACAATAAAAATCGAGTACAATTATTTCTTGCCTTTATACCTATTTTGAACTAAATCAGACAAAGCATGTGCGAGAAATGGTTAAAGACACATGAAAATAAAACAAAAATGGCCACCAGTCAATAATTAATTCAATGATCAATCAATTAATTTAAGAATATATTTTTCACAATATACTGAATAAAGAAGGTTTTGATCGCAATCGAAAAAAGATCACTTTTATAACTGCATTCAATATCATTACAGACAAGTGTTAAGTGAATGAGTAAGTAAAACAATACCGACAGAATTGAGAAAGACAAAGTAACATTGAGATGACCCCGAACTTCAGCATTTCTGAAAAACATTGGCCCATACAGTGCAATTTTCCAAGACAATGTGTACTGAGAATGCCTCGCTTCCAACTGATATAATGGTCAACTGGAACCCATGTATTATACATAGCCCATACATAACATATGGGAAAGTGAAAAAATCACACACAATAAAAATCGAGTACAATTATTTCTTGCCTTTATACCTATTTTGAACTAAATCAGACAAAGCATGTGCGAGAAATGGTTAAAGACACATGAAAATAAAACAAAAATGGCCACCAGTCAATAATTAATTCAATGATCAATCAATTAATTTAAGAATATATTTTTCACAATATACTGAATAAAGAAGGTTTTGATCGCAATCGAAAAAAGATCACTTTTACAACTGCATTCAATATCATTACAGACAAGTGTTAAGTGAATGAGTAAGTAAAACAATACCTTTCAGTACAGTCTGGTCGACTGCATCCATCAATAATATCTTTAATCTCTGGATTAGTAACCTTGTCAAAACTTAAAGGCCTTACCCCCTGAAAAAAACAAGAAAGCATAAAAATTGAAACAAAATTCCAAGTCTGCTCAGTCAAACCAAAAAAGATTTGTTTCTGAACATCAGAATGATTTGACTACTCAGAAAATCAAAGTCTTTGTTTTGGTTCAACTGAAAAACAAATTACAATGTATAACATGTACTACTATCTGTTTATCATTCTATACTACTATGGAAGACATGTACTCACACTTGTAACTCTTCTGTAGATCTGTCCAGGATTCTGACACTCAGCATATGGATACTCAGATGTTGCCATTTCCAGCATACACATACCAAAAGCATAAATATCAACTGATTCATCATAATGTTCTTCATACATTTCTGGTGCCATGAATTCCGGGGTACCTTAGGAGACACAAAGATTACGTGGAATCTTTGAGCTGTTTTGAGAGAGAAGAGACCAGTTGCCAAGGAAAGAATTGTTAGTATGTTTTGTCTTGGCGAGAGTCTGCATACATGACCTGCTTAGTGTGAGAGACACTGGTTGTTCTATGATGTAGGGGAACTTACCTTTCAAAATTCCTAGTACCTTATTGTTAATCAGCACATCTAAGAGAATGCTGTGAAGCAAACTACACTCAAGAAAAGAAAGAAGTGAAAAGTGTGAAGGGCCAACTAAGGTAATTCAGGCAACTGGTAACACAGAATATGATGATAGAAATAATAATGCATCTAGTATTGGTTTCATCTCATTGAATATCATTACTAAAAATGCATTAATTTTTCACTGTGTTTTAAAGTATTTACTGATGAGTGAAAACCACATCAATTACAATAGAAGTTATTGTTTCACTGGAAAACTGAATTTAATCCTTGTGAGTGATCAAATATCAATAAAGTGAAATTAAAAACTCGTGAAAATTAATGCTTTTACAGTATATTTCAAGATTTTACTTAGAATTTGAAAATCTAAATAAGACTTTTAAATTCTTGAATCAGTGTTTTGTTGTCATACCACAATTTCTATGCATACATATCCTAAACATGTGCTCAATAGTAAGTCTGCAATCAATGGCTCACCTTAACACAAATGGAACACACATTAAACTTGTATGGCATTGTGTGGTTACAATGCGCAATATAAAAAATCATATGCTTCTTACCTATGACACTTTTTGCAAAGGAGGTTTTCTTCAACGTTGCTAAACCCAAGTCACCAATTTTCACAGATCCTGACGTTCCAGTGATGAAAATATTATCACACTTTAAGTCACGGTGGATGACAGGCGGTTGGCGTGTGTGAAGAAAATTAAGTCCTTTGAGGATCTGCCGGCACCAACTTCTTAACATTTTGGTTTTCACTACCTTAAAACGCTTCAAGTATCTGTAAACAGCAATGTTTGATGTATAAAAGTTGTCAATAATATCAATATATGACTGTTTGGTTAATACCCAAGCAAATAAAGGTGCACATTTGATATCCAACTACATTACTGACATTTTCATTTTTGCAAGGGATTCGAGTAGATAATTAGGCCAAATGTGTGTGTGTTGTAAAAAAAATTAAGGTAGGTAGGTACGGTAGGTAGGTCTAACTATTTATCACTTGCAATTGTTGTTAAGATGCTGCTTGGCTTGTTGATCCATACATAATATAGAATTATATTATACAGAAGCAGTTTACAAATTAATTGTTCAGCATTGCAGCAACAAAAAAGAAGTGAGCACTTTCCAGTTTAGCAATGAAAAAATAAGATCTGCATGCAAAAACTAAAATGCATTATTTTTATTGTTTTTCAGTGATAAAAATGACACAAAATGTATACAGTGTGTCCTTGAAACTTGAGTTCCAAGTGGCATATACAACAGATTGCAGCGTTCTCCACAAGGAGTTTTAGGCGGGCGGCCCGCCCATCAAGTTTTACGGCCGCCCAGTAACTCTCAACACCCGCCCACCAACATACATCCAGCTGAAATTTTTTGTAAAAAGCTTGCATTGTTCTTCCCAAGCCTAAACAAAAGAGTAGTTGCCCAACCCTTTATTTTGCTATTGTTTCAACAGTCCAAACATAAACAATGTCCATTGGAAGTCTGTAAGCAGTTATCAAGTGTATTCATGGCAATGTGTCAATCGCTTGAATTCATTGTCGCCCGACATTGTTGCCACATTGCTCACGATACGCAACTACAGTGGTTTCAATTTACAGCTGTATTTTTAATAATCGTCTTCCGATCACGAAAGAAAGAAGTAAATACGAACGAAATGTATATGCACAGAAAATAAACAAATATATTAGCAGATTGCATGTAAACTCGAACAAAAATTTAAATTCTAGCCGTATTTACAACGTTCGCTCGATTTTCGTTGTGAAAACAGCATGGAGAAGGCAAACTGATGACCTTTTGGCCTACCCCATTCAACGACCGTCTGCTACCCACCGCTGTTGGCGCTGTAACGATTTAGTATCTAAGTTGCATAGGGACAGCGCATTCTGG